GAAGTAATCTCAGGCTATGTCTACACTAGAGACCTTACAGCGGCACAGCTGTACCGATGCAGCTGTGCCGCTGTAAGATCTCCCATGTAGCCACTCTATGCCGACAGGACAGAGCTCTCCTGTTGACATAATTATACCACCCCTAACAAGCGGCAGCAGCCATGTTGGCAGGAGAGCATCTCCCATCAACGCAGCGCTGTCCACACCGGTGCTTCTGTCGGTTTAACTTATGTCACTCAGGGGGGTGTTTTTTCACACCCCTGAGTGACATAAATTAAACCGACAAAGCTGCTAGTGTAGACATAGCCTAATATTCTGGAAAATACGGTGGCTGCATAGAATAGGTGCCGGCCTTTTACCAGCAGGCACCCACTGAATCGGAGCCCTGATTCTAGCTGTCATTTATACAGTCAGTATCATTCCTCTTCCCCTATTTTGTTTATTTGCCAGTTAACTTTTAAAACATGTAATGATTTAGGTGCCACATCTATATAAAGGAGCCTACAACATTCGATAATTTAGTCAGTCAATGATTTTTTTTATTTGAATAAACTTTTTTGTTAATGTATTTGACCTGCATAATTAACATAACGAACCAATGGGTGACAGGGCATGGATCAGTTGACGATAACTTGTCTGTTAATTCCCTTTGGGGCACCTGCCATTGGCCACTGTCAAAGGACAGGATACTGGGCTTGATGGACCAGTATGGCCATTCTTATGTTCTTCTGAATAACTACTGTCTCTCTTACTGACTGTATCTCCGGTTTATGAGGCAGTAACTGATTGTTATACATACTGATATAAACAAACTTGGAGGCCAAGTCAGAGTCAGTCTGCCCATCTAATTTATTACATTGCCGCAACTCTCCTGAATTAATTAATTAGTTCTCTCGGGAACTCTGAAGTGCCGCATCACACCACAGCCCACAGTGTGAATGAACCACGCTATTGCCTATCAGAACATGGCAGGTCAAACAAAAAATGGTACTTCCCTGAATTTAGGACATCTCCATCCCCCAAATAAATAAATAAAAACCTTCCCCTGCTTGAGGTTTTATTCCAATTCCATAAAAAAGGCAATCAAAAGTGTGCACAGTGTCTCAGAAGTTGGTTCAGAACTCAGCACTGGTGTTTGATACCAGAGCACTACAAACATAAAACATGTCAAAAGGAAGCATGCTTGCTTGCCTCACAGTAATACCTTCCTCTCGTATATTGTTTTTCATCAGGAGATCTCAATACAAAGGTCAGGACCATTAACCCCCTGTTACAAAGGTGCAGAGAGATGAAGTGACTTGCCAGTGGCCAAACCAGGAATAAAACCCACATTTCCAGAGTCACCACCTAGTACGCTATCCACTAGACCACACTGCCTCACTCAGAACAGACACACAAAAATCACAACTACCCTGACAGAATGTTTGCGCCCAGCTTTCACGAAAAGTTCTTAGATGTGTACAAAAATTGTGCAGACCACCAGTTGTCTGTAAAGGTAAGTCAAACCCAGTCAAAGCTGATCTGAGCACCTTTGAGGTTTGAGCGACAAAGTCATTGCGGAGAAACTAAATGGATTCTTTGCTTCAGTCTTCACGGCTGAGGATGTTAGGGAGATTCCCAAACCTGAGCCGGCTTTTGTAGGTGACAAATCTGAAGAACTGTCACAGATTGAAGTGTCACTAGAGGAGGTTTTGGAATTAATTGATAAACTTAACATTAACAAGTCAACGGGACCAGATGGCATTCACCCAAGAGTTCTGAAAGAACTCAAATGTGAAGTTGCGGAACTATTAACTAAGGTTTGTAACCTGTCCTTTAAATCGGCTTCTGTACCCAATGACTGGAAGTTAGCTATGTAACACCAATATTTAAAAAGGGCTCAAGAGGTGATCCCGGCAATTACAGACCGGTAAGTCTAACATCGGTACCGGGCAAATTAGTCGAAACAATAGTTAAGAATAAAATTGTCAGACACATAGAAAAACAAACTGTTGAGCAATAGTCAACATGGTTTCTGTAAAGGGAAATCGTGTCTTACTAATCTATTAGAGTTCTTTGAAGGGGTCAATAAACATGTGGACAAGGGGGATCCAGTAGACATAGTGTACTTAGATTTCCAGAAAGCATTTGACAAGGTCCCTCACCAAAGGCTCTTACGTAAATTAAGCTGTCATGGGATAAAAGGGAAGGCCCTTTCATGGATTGAGAACTGGTTAAAAGACAGGGAACAAAAGGTAGGAATTAATGGTAAATTCTCAGAATGGAGATGGGTAACTGGTGGTGTTCCCCAAGGATCAGTCCTCGGACCGATCCTATTCAACTTATTCATAAATGATCTGGAGAAAGAGGTAAACAGTGAGGTGGCAAAGTTTGCAGATACTAAACTGCTCAAGATAGTTAAGACCATAGCAGACTGTGAAGAACTTCAAAAAGATCTCACAAAACTAAGTGATTGGGCAACAAAATGTCAAATGAAATTTAATGTGGATAAATGTAAAGTAATGCACATTGGAAAAAATAACCCCAACTTTACATACAATATGATGGGGTCTAATTTAGCTACAACGAGTCAGGAAAAAGATCTTGGAGTCATCGTGGATAGTTCTCTGAAGATGTCCACGCAGTGTGCAGAGGCGGTCAAAAAAGCAAACAGGATATTAAGAATCATTAAAAAGGGGATAGAGAATAAGACTGAGAATATATTATTGCCCTTATATAAATCAGTGGTACTCCCACATCTTGAATACTGCGTACAGATGTGGTCTCCTCATCTCAAAAAAGATATACTGGCACTAGAAAAGGTTCAGAAAAGGGCAACTAAAATGATTAGGGGTTTGGAACGGGTCCCATATGAGGAGAGATTAAAGAGGCTAGGATTCTTCAGCTTGGAAAAGAGGAGACTAAGGGGGGATATGATAGAGGTATATAAAATCATGAGTGATGTGGAGAAAGTGGATAAGGAAAAGTTATGTACTTGTTCCCATAATACAAGAACTAGAGGTCACCAAATGAAATTAATAGGCAGCAGGTTTAAAACAAATAAAAGGAAGTTCTTCTTCACACAGCGCACAGTCAACTTGTAGAAATCCTTACCTGAGGAGGTTGTGAAGGCTAGGACTATAACAGCATTTAAAAGAGAACTGGATAAATTCATGGAGGTTAAGTCTGTTAATGGCTATTAGCCAGGATGGGTAAGGAATGGTGTTCCTAGCCTCTGTTTGTCAGAGGATGGAGATGGATGGCAGGAGAGAGATCACTTGATCATTGCCTATTAGGTTCGCTCCCTCTGGGGCACCTGGCATTGGCCACTGTCAGTAGACAGGATACTGGGCTAGATGGACCTTTGGTCTGACCCAGTATGGCTGTTCTTATGAGCAAAAAGTTTCAGACACCTCTAACATAGAATCTTTCACTTCTAGGTCTCTGGATCAAAACCAGCCCTGGTCAGTAATGACCAAAAGCCTGGGGTGGGATCTTCAAAAGTGCTCAGGACTGATCTAACTCTGCTCCCATTTAAACCAACAGGAGTTTTATCTTTGACTTCAATAGGAGCAGAGTTAGGTCCAAACTAAGTGCTTTTAAAAATTCCACCCCTATTTTCCATTTGACTGCTGCTTGGTGGGCTAATGTGTAATGAGCTGGTGATCTCAGTCCAGTTTCTAGTGATGTTTGTAGATACATTACTAATTGATGATCTTACTTCATAATAATCAACTTTTGGTAATCTCAGATGAGGGCAAGGGATTAAAAGGTGGGAATAGCTCAGTGGTTTGAGCCTTGGCCTATTAAACCCAGAGTTGTGAGATCAATCCTTGAGGGGGCCCCTTAGGGATCTGGGGTAAAATCAGTACTTGGTACTGCTAGTGAAGGCAGGGGGCTGGACTTGATGACCTTTCAAGGTCCATTCTAGGAGATGGGATATCTCCATTAATTTAAAAAAATAAATAAATTTAGGAAGTGAACTGTCCTCTCACTTCTGAAGGTGATTACTCCTTGCCAGGTCAGGGTCTAAGTATCTGATAGGAGTGGTATAGAGAAGCTATCTTTACTGATACCCAGGCTGTAGTTAATCATAGACTTTGCAGGCCACTCTATTTCAGAAGCACTACATTCCTTTAATAATATTCGCAAGATCTTTTAATAATAAATAGCAAAGTAGGTTAACAAAAATAAAACCACTACCAAAAGTTTGTGTGTTCAGAGTGAAATCTGCTATACTTCTAACTAGTGCTCAACTGTGTTTGGGAAACTATCAGATTCATAGGACTTTTTCAGCAAAAGTAAATGCAACAATAATGTATCTCACTGATTTGCTCACCAAGTCAGAAAGTGTTTTAATAAGAGCAAATGTGAGGATCTGGCCTGGCCTGGCCAAGCTGTTCTAGGTGCAGGATTCAAGGGAGGGGAGGAGGGGGAAGGTGGTATGAAGCTACCTTACCTTTCCCCCAATCCTAAGAACATCCAGGGAACTGCTCAGGCATCCTCTATGGACCATTACATTACCCAGAGATCAACCCAGCCACATCCCTACTTGCTACCTACACGGGGAATGGGCTGCAGGTGGGCAGATAAAACTGATGTAGCTGGATCTATGGCCACCCAGGGAACGAATCCAAGTTTGCTCATCTGGGGAGCTTTCTGGGAACTTACCACCTAATGATTTCCCCAGTTTTTCTAAGGCAGTTAATTACATACCTTTTGCAAATGAGCTTGCTGGCTATTTATTATCTGGGTAATTTGCAGTGGAGGCTGTTGACATCCAACAGCCAGGAGGCAAAACTGGCATTTAATTGGTTAAGTGGGCACTCAAAGCCATTTCACAGTACAGGCTAAAGAATCGTCTCTGATTCAAAACAGACTATGCAAAGCCGTCAGTGAGGAGTCTCCACTGGTAATTTGCCATTCAGATTACTCACCAACTTGAAATGAGAAGAATTTTTCAAGCCTCATTATTTGCAGAAACAGTTTCAGCAAGAGAAGAAAAAAAAGCCCCTCTTTACCTAATCCTTCACTTTGATTGAACATCATCTTCACCGTCTGACAAGCAGATCCATCTCCTAGGCAAACTCCGCATCGATCTTCAGTTGCTTTGGAATTTATCTCATAATCACAGCCAACAGTCTAAAGGGAAAGACATTTTCAATATAAATATTCTATCTATAATGAATTGCTCCAGACCCAACGTATCACTGACTCCGGTGTCAGCTTCTAATCAGCTGCTTCAGAAGGGGAAATGAACTGATTTCACTGAATACAACATATTTTATGTGCAGACACTTAATACCAGAGACTGTCACATCTTATTTAAGTATAAATTCATGCATATTGTACGAGAATGACAGACGTTATTTGCACAGTACATGCTATGAACCATGCAATGGTTACAAGAAGTCATTATTTTAACAGAAACACACCTCAATTGACCTTTATTGTCCAGCATATCCTGTATTTTTCTCTACTTTTGTATGGCATACAGATATCCCAGGTTTCCCAAGCAAGTGTTTTGCCAATTGGACTAAAAAGTAGCAATTAGTGGCCTAATATTTTATCTACTAACCTTTGCAAGTATATCATTAACATGAACATTTTTTGACAGATCTGAAAGACTCACTCGTTATAATGAATGCTTGGAACTTGTACTAACATTGGTACCCAGTGGCAGTTTAGTGCATATTTTGGGGATTCAGTTGTAGAACATGATGAGTTTATGCAAGCATGGCCACAGAACAGCTCTAGAAATAATAGGTCAGATGCTGGTTTCTGCTTCAGCTTCTTTGTGCCACTCAGGTGGTACAAAGGGACTGGATTCTGGCTCCTTAGAGACTAACAAATTTATTAGAGCATAAGCTTTCGTGGGCTACAGCCCACTTCTTCGGATGCATAGAATGGAACATATATTGAGGAGATATATATACACACATACAGAGAGCATGAACAGGTGGGAGTTGTCTTACCAACTCTGAGAGGCCAATTAAGTAAGAGAAAAAAACTTTTGAAGTGATAATCAAGATAGCCCAGTACAGACAGTTTGATAAGAAGTGTGAGAATACTTACAAGGGGAGATTGATTCAATGTTTGTAATGGCTCAGCCATTACATTGTATATGCAAACTAGATACAATCAATTAGGCTTGAATAAGGACTGGGAATGACTGAGCCATTACAAACATTGAATCGCTCTAGGGGTTATTTTGAAAGAGGGCATCTTATCTGAGGGCAACTTGTTTTCTCAATCCCAATAAGAACAATGGGAGATGGCAGCCAATTTCCATGGGCATGTCAATGTAGGGCACCCAAAATTCTGCCCAAACCGTGCATTTCCATAACTTAATGTGCCTGGATTTCTTTAAACGCTAACCTTAACTCTGAATGTCCTTGGTTAATAATGTTTGTTTGGGAATAATTACAACATACCAGTAATGTAGTTCACTCTATATTGCTGATATGTACTCTCAATCTTAATGTGGTTTTGCCTAGACATAGAAAGAGAACTACTACTGTAATATGGTCCTGCTCAAGACAGATTTTCAGACAGCAAATAAGATTTTGTAAGGATTCAAAAATCTGATAAACAGGCCAAATTCATCCCTGACATAACTAAACCAAGATCAATTTTACTTGACAGAGTGGAGGCATTTTGCCCAATGTTGAAACTTATTCTGTATCTTGAAAAGCTAAACCTTAATTGTTCATTAAAATACTATCAGCTAGATAAATATAAAGGGAGTTTTCCATAGCAATGCTTCCATGGGTAAGCACAAATAGAAAGTGCCATGCTCAATAGCACTAATTTCTGTCTGGCCTACCTGCCTAGTGCTCATCTCTGTGGTATCTGAGCATCTGCAGTAGCACTGTCCTTTCACTCCTCAGAGTTTATACACTCTGTTTAAGAGGGTCTCTTGAAAAACGATTAGTCATTTCACCTCATGAAATTCCAACACTGGGTTGCCAAAGGAGGCAAGAGAAAAAAAGTTGCATCGGTTTGTTTTCTGTTCAACTTCTTCGGAAATGAAGGGCTACGTTATGGCTTTCCTGTAAGAGGAAGAGAGTATATAGGGTGCCATTCCCCCTCCCAGCAATAAAATGGCTCCTGGTGTGTTTTGCTGTGCAAGGGACAGAAGAGAGACGGTAATTTCTGATCAGAGTCTCCTCCACTGCCTGCCTGCTGGTATGAATGTGCTGGAAGAAGTGCTTGCTGCGCCATTTAACAAAGTGTAGCAAGAGTCACCTCACACCGTGTTCCTCCCCAGCGCTCAGAAGATATTATGCCTTGCAGGGTTAATTCTTGCAGCTCTGGTGCTTGGGGCTCCTCTTTCCTACCCTTGTGTGACTCAGCATCATGAAACCATGCTCAGGGTCTGTGCCACATATTCTGTCACTTTCCAGAAGTTCAACCAGCAGGAGGCTCTGAAATGCTCATTGTAATTCAACAAGTTGAGCTAAAGTTACAGAAAGTAAACCTGATGATAATAATGGTTTTAAGTTCTTTTTGTTACGGCAGCTGGAGGCCTTCGGCCAGGCCCCACCCACAAATGAAAATGGATTATTGTAATTTCGATGTGTTATTTTCTCTCATTGTTCTACTCATGTAAAACACCCTTTCAGTTGTGGTACTTGCTAACTTCTCTAACACCATCCTGCTGTATGAGATTGTAACCGGGTTCACTCACCGCTAAGTGCCCCCTCATGGCCAGGTGTGGTGTAGCAGCTCCCTTGAAGAGCTAGTGTCCCCTGCCGACAGTCACTCTGCTGCTGTGGTGATTTCTCTGTCAGTAACTCGGCTCTGCGGCCAGGTCTCCATCTTAAGTCCACCCTTCCTGGGGTCACAGTTGTCCAAACTAAAAGTCCCCAGAATGTCTTTAACACAAACAAAAATCCTTTCCCCTCTCTGGGGGCTCTTCCACAGCCTGTTGTCCCCTTGCTGGGCTCAATAACTCTTGCAGTGGGCTTGTACACCCCCTTCCTTGGGGCCAGCCGGAGTACCCAGTCCCAGCCTCTACTCTGGGTTCCAGTCTAGGGCCTTGTACTGAACAACTAGTTCTGCTCCTCTACATGTGCTGCAGTTTTCCTCGGGCCACTTCCCACGCAACCTCTTAAATACTCCTCTGGATCTCTCTGTCTCTTCCCTGCTTAATAAGGGTTCCTCTCAAGCCTCCTTGCATGGAGATCTTTTCCCAGTCTCTTCCTTCTTTCATCAGGGTCTCTTCCAGGCCTTGAGAGCTTTCCTTACTCTCTCAGCTTACAACCTGTCTCTTCCTCCAGCCCTTTCCCCAGTTGGGTCTTATCACCATTCAGGCCTGGCTCTTGTTCCCATTACTGCAGCCAGCTTCTGCTCTTTATGGGGAATTGCCTGATCCCACTCAAGTAGGGCTTAGTCTGTAATCGGGGTTGGCTTAGCCTCAGGCTCTCCAGTCCATGGGGCAAGCCACCCTGTTATAGGGCTATTGTGTTCCCTTTTGCTCTGTTTTTTATTTTCATTTCAATCTAGCACCAGCTACCATCATATAATCATAGAATCATAGATGTGTAGGACTAGAAGAGATCTCATTAGGTCATCTAGCCAAGTCCCCTGTACTCAAGACAGGACTATGTAATAACTAGACCATTCCTGACAGGTGTTTATCTAACCTGTTCTTAAAAATCCCCAATGATGGAGATTTCACAACCTCCCTAGGCAATTTGTTCCAGTGCTTAACCACCCTGACAGTTAGGCAGTTTTTCCTAATGTCCAACCTAAACTTTCCTTGCCGCAATTTAAGCCCATTGCTACTTGTCCTATCCTCAGATTAGCTAGAACAATTTTTCACTCTCCTCCTTGTAACAACCTTTCATGTACTTGAAACCTGTTATCATGTCAGTCTTCTCTTCTCCAGGCTAAACAAATCCAATTTTTTCAAGTATCAGAGGGGTAGCCGTGTTAGTCTGAATCTGTAAAAAGCAACAGAGGGTCCTGTGGCACCTTTAAGACTAACAGAAGTATTGGGAGCATAAGCTTTCATGGGTAAGAACCTCACTTCTTCAGATGCAACCTCACTTCTTGCATCTGAAGAAGTGAGGTTCTTACCCACGAAAGCTTATGCTCCCAATACTTCTGTTAGTCTTAAAGGTGCCACAGGACCAATCTTTTCAATCATCCGTCATAGGTCATGTTTTCTAGACCTTTAATCGTTTTTGTTGCTCTTCTCTGGACTTTCTCCGATTTGTCCACATCTTTCCTGAAATGTGGCGCCTAGAACTAGACAAAATACTCCATCTGAGGCTTTATAATCTACAGCTTCCTGATAAGATGATCCATCTGTCAAATTAATCTAGACGGAGAGGGACTTTCTCTCCAATTTTCTTCTGGTCCTTAATGCCTAGAAGCACCTTTCCTCCAGGCACCAACTATTAAAAGAACCATTACAGTATTTGCAGTAGTTACACTGTGGCAATGGAAAGCCCCAGATTGAATAATTATGTTAGACTATTAGGCTTGGTCCACACTACTGAGTTAGATTACATCGACCTAATTATGTCAGTGTACACACTACAGTCTTGCTCCCACCAATGTAAGTGCCCTACTACACCGACATAATAACTCCACCTCCACAAGAGGTGTAGGGGCTTATGTCAGTGTAGTTAGAGTGACACAGTGTCCCTATAGGCAATGTGTTACTTACATTGGCTGTTGGCGGTCATTCTTGTCAATTTCACGACTCCATGCTGGAGCTCTGAAATTGACATGAAAGCCCGGCTGTCACCGGGGTGGGTGGGGGGCTCCAGCTGCTACCTGGGCTCCCCGCTCCAAGTCAGGCTGTGCCTGCGAGCTCCTGCTGCTGGTAAGGGGGCAGGAAGCAGGGGGGTTGGGTAAGGGAGCGGGGGTTCTGGGGGCAGTCAGGGAGGAGGGGACGGTTGGATGGGGTGGAGGTTCTGGGGGGACGGTCAGGGGATGGGGAACAGGGAGGGTTGGGAGTGGGAGTCCCGGGGGGCCTGTCAGGGGGCGGTGATGTGAATAGGGGTCGGGAGGGCAATCAGGGGACAGGGAGCAGGGGGGCAGATAGGGGGCAGGGGTCCTGGGAGGGGGCAGTCAGGGGACAAGGAGCAGGGGGGGTTGGATGGGTTGGGGGTTCTGAGGGAGGCAGT